ATTCGCTACAGATGGAAGACGCTCCCTAGATCTACCTGCGAAAGTATCAGAAACTATGTTGTAAACAAGGTCATCGCACTCTCCGAAACAGATGAGAGCCTATCGCGCGACGGAGTGTTTGTTTCAAAGCTCAATCTCATTCTCGTCCAGATCGTCAAACAGGAATGGCCGGATAAGTGGGGTTCCTTTATTTCCGACATTGTGGGTGCCAGCAAGGGGAGTGTCCCGTTGTGTGAGAATAACATGAAGATTATGAGACTGCTTTCTGAAGAAGTTTTCGAGTTTTCCGCAGGGGAGATGACTCAGGATAAGGTCAGCCACCTAAGAACCCGATTTAACGAGGATTTTTCTCGCATCTTCGATCTGTGCCAATATGTTTTCTCTTCGGCCGCAGATCTGCAACAATCGAGACCATCGCTTCTCATTGCCACTCTCAAAATGCTCGAGAAGTTCCTCTCTTGGATACCGGTTGGTTACATTTTCGAGACACAAATCATAGACGTTCTGGTTGGCTTTGTAGCGGTCGACCCGCTGAGGAACGCCACAATGCCATGTCTAGTTGAAATCGCAGGCTTATCAGGGAACATTGTTAGCCAGTACGATGACCGCTTTCGCTTTTTGTTTGTATCTTTCGTGCAGCGCTTGACATCGGTGTGGCCTCTCAATGTCGATATAGCCTCAGCATACGAAGAAGCGGACGATGAAACTCAGGGCTTTGTCATGGATCTTGCGTTGTTTTTCACGAACTTTTTTCGATATCATGTGTCTCTGGTTGATACTGACATGACACCAGATGTACGAAATGCATTTAGAAGTGCTTACGAGTACCTGGTGAAGATTTCGCGCGTACCAGATGTGGAAGTGTTTAAAACTTGCCTTGAATGGTGGTTTAAGCTTGCATCAGATCTTTACGATAATGAGTGTCACATTCCGTCGGCCGCTGAGCGTAGTCGTCCTTTGCTTTTGAACATGCCATCGAGTCCGCAGAGCCCTCCGATGGGAAATATGGTAACAGCGGGTCCGGGATCTGAATTTGTATCGCAGAAACGAGCATTTTATGCGCCAATTCTTTCGGAGGTGAGACACGTGATGATTTCACGCATGGCAAAGCCTGAAGAAGTTCTCATTGTCGAAGATGAAAACGGAGAAATTGTGAGAGAGACAACTAAAGACACAGATGCCATTGCCCTGTATAAGACAATGCGAGAAACCCTCGTCTTTTTGACTCATTTGGACACTACGAACACAGAAAGCATCATGCTTTGCAAGCTTGCCTTGCAGATTGAGAACAGGGAATGGTCCTGGAACAATCTGAATACCTTGTGCTGGGCAATAGGAAGCATCTCAGGGGCAATGGGAGAAGAAGAAGAGAGAAAGTTCCTGGTGACCGTCATCAAAGAACTCCTTATCTTGTGTGAGAATAAGCGCGGGAAGGATAACAAAGCTGTTGTTGCATCAAACATTATGTACGTCGTCGGGCAGTATCCTCGATTTCTTCGGGCACACTGGAAATTCTTGAAGACAGTTGTCAACAAGCTTTTCGAGTTTATGCATGAGACACATCCAGGGGTGCAGGACATGGCATGCGACACTTTTCTCAAAATTGCGCAAAAGTGTAGGCACAAGTTTGTGAGTTTGCAAACAAGAGAGGCGAAGCCTTTTATTGTTGAGATGTTAGAGACGCTTCCCGAAATCATTCAGAAGCTCGAGACACATCAGATCCAATCCTTTTACGAATCATGCGGATGCATTATTGCAAGCGAATCCGATGAGTTGACAAGAAACCAGCTCATCATGAAGCTTTTTGAACTGCCGAATAGCAGCTGGTCTCAGTTGTTGTATTCAGCAGGGGTCTCGGAAGAAGTTTGGTGCCAAAGAGCAAAAATGAAAAACTTCTCTGGCATTCTGCGTACTAACTCTCGCGTGGCCACTTCTCTGGGCTCTCCATACTTAGTGCAACTGGATTACATTTACGGGGATATGCTCAAGGTGTACAAAGCATACTCGGAATTAATACAAAAGGCAGTTATGAACGGGGGTCAATATGCGTCAAAGAGTTCAGATGTCCGGAATATGAGGGCCGTAAAGCGTGAGGTACTCCGCGTCATTGAAACTTGCATCAGCACGCTACACGACACAGACCGGGAAAAAATTCAGGAGAAGGTAATTGAGCCTTTGACAGACGTCGTGCTCGGAGACTACGTGCAATCGGCCCCTGATGTTCGTGAGCCAGCGGTGTTATCACTCTATTCCGCAATTGTTTCTTTTATGAAGGGAAGCTTGTCCACAGCTGCAGTACGGGTGATCTTCAAGTCTCTTGTGGGAGTTACTCTAGTCATGATCAAGAACAACTTTGAAGACTTTCCCGACGCTAGAATCAACTTTTTCCTGCTACTGAGATCAATCAACCATCATCAGTTCGCCTCATTGTTTGCTCTTGATGAAAACCCATCTGCTGCAGAGGCAGAATTTCGGATCATTATCAACGCAATAGCGTGGGCCTTCAAGCACACAGAGCGCAACGTTGCGGAAACTGGTCTGCAAATCCTTCTGGAAATGCTTCGGAATGTTGACTCCTCCCCATTTGCGAACTACTTCTACCGAATTTACTTCAAGTCAATCCTTAATGACATCTTGTATGTCTTGACCGACACCCTTCATAGGCCAGGGTTTAAACTTCATGCCCAGATCTTGATGCACCTCATTGGCGCCGTGGGTTCTGGTCGAATAACGGAACCAATCTGGGATCAACAACAACCGGAAGAAGTCGCACTCGCATCAGCCAATGGAAGTTCTTCTCCCTCAAATGCCCTGTACCTACATTATCACTTGCTCAAGATTTTGAAGGCAGCTTTCCCCAACTTGAGCGATGGGCAAGTGACTGACATTGTCAAAGCACTTCTCTCTGGTTCAGACGACAAGACGTTCAAGGGCCATTTGCGAGATTTTCTTGTTCAGACGAAAGAATTCTCGGCTGGAGACAACACAGACTTGTTTGATGAGGAAAAGCAAATGAAAGACTTGGAGAAGGAGAAAGCAGAGCGAGATAGGCTAGCAAGGACTCCTGGTCTAATAGCGCCTTCCAACATCTGACTTTTCGACTTGCGCAGCCAGTGGCACCGTACTGTTGATAGATCAGGCTGAAATTGCGACTATTGTACAACGGAGACAACAGGTGAATGTAAAGCGTGATAGCGAGCGGGAAGCAGTCCGGAGTGTTGAGAAACTGAAGGATGCAGGGCCCAAATTTTAGCGCGTTTGGTGGTCGAAAGGTTGAGGGTTTGATCGTATTCCGCAATAGATGTCCAAAGTTCCGCCAGAGGTATCTGTCTGTAAATTTACTATCTACCTGCACAGACTCGCGCAGAGGATACAAAACATTTTGAGTTCATGTGTCGTCGAAAGCCGTTGTGAATAACTCTATCCCACACACAACCGGTACGTGACATATCGCCCGGCAGTTTCTGATGGCCGGGTGATTTTGACAACGTTTCCATGAGTAAGCCCATAGTATCTTGCGATCGGATCGGTTTTCTGAATTCTCGGCAGCTGGCTCTCTTTCAACTTATAGCGTCGGAGCAACGCCTTTTTCTCGTCGGCAGAAAGGACGTCGTGCTTCGGCACAAGAATATGTTTGGTTATGTTCACGATAAGTTCGTTTTCGATAAAAATTTCCATTCGAGCCTGGTCTCCAGAGTTGAGCTCGGCAACAGTTTTTTTCGCGTACGGAGTGAGACCTGTTTCCAAGACAATAATCGCGTGACGTACGCCATCCCTTTCCATTCTTTTCCCTCTTTCCAAGAGAGGTTTGACACCCAGGGGTTTGTTTTTGATTTCTTCTGGGAAGAAAACGTATATTTGGTCCTTATCATCATCCTTCTTTTGCCTCAAGAGCGTAAGGGATTCTCTGTTGTAGTTCTGAGTTATAAATTCACGAGCGAAAACTTCACGCGGTTGAAGAAGATCTTCCTCTGAATTTAGCACTGCGTAGCCCCGGTCCGATAACATTTCAAGGATTGTCCGTCGAATTCGGAATAAACGAGAGATATCTTGCTCAGTAGATTCTTCATCCATCTTGAGACCTTTCTGTAATATTGCCCTTTGCCGCAGTATCAAGAAAAACGGATACCCAGTTACTCGCTGGGCTGTCTGAATGAAAAATCGCAAGGTTGGTCTGAGGGCAGACGAAGGTCCTCTACGTAAAGAAGCGATATCACGTTTCAGATATGCGTACTTATTGACTCCTGTGTGGTTCCCTGGGTCCGGGCAAGTCCAAGAAGCCGATGAAAAATGCACGAACAGTGGTCAAGTGGTATCGTCCGCTGGTGCTGCGACCGGGTACGAAGTGGTTCCTAACTTTAACGCAACTGTTTTTAGAGATGCGTGGGATGGTTGCTATGTTCCCAAAACGCTCCCTCATTGGCCAGATTTCTTGAATTCGGGAAAAGTAATACTAAAATATAGTGAAACAGATGATTTAGAGATGATCCGGCCGGAAAAAACAAACTGTGCTGTGTACACAGCACAGCAGTTCACCGGTATTGCAAACAGCGCCATCCCCAAATCCTATCGATCCTGTTGCGCTCGTCTCAAACCAGGAGGGGTATTGAACCTTCACTCCTACTCGGATAGCCACATGATCTGTGTGAACCTGTTCTTCTCATTGCGAGTTTGACATCATTTCCAAGTCGGATTCCAGATCACGATGTCGAAGGAATCGGCAGCGATCACCGGAGCGGTCCAAGTGCCAGACTCGGTCGTGACTATTCCAAATTCGGGGGAGAAGCATCACGGCATTCCGACCGCGGTTTTCTTTGTAAGTTTCATTCTCGAAGCATAACGAATGGTTCACTTTCTCAAAGCAAGGGGACTGACGTCACATCCCGCCTTTTTTTGCGGGCTACTTCGACCCTCCGGTTTTTTTCTTTTCCGCGGCCGTAGGATGATGTCGCTAGTCTTGCTGTGAAAAACACCGCAACAGGGTTAATCGATAAACTTTCTGCCCTCAGTCAAAAGTATCGGTTTTTTGAGGAAAAGCTGTTAAAGAGTCGCGACACTTTGGGAGAAAAGATTGCTGAGGTGCAACGCGCTTTAAAAGCAGTCACGTCCTTGGAAGAGAAGAGCACTAGATCCGGCGACAATTCGTCCGATATCGAGACGCAGTTTGAATTAAGTGATGGGATCTACGTACAAGCCGTTGTGCCTCCATCGAGAGCAGTGTGCTTATGGCTCGGGGCAAACATAATGGTTGAGTATTCATACAAGGAAGCCATTACGTTGCTTACGAAGAACCTGGGTTCGGCTCAAACGAACCTAGCCGAAACAAATGCGGACATTAGTTATTTACGCGATCAACTCAACACAACCGACATTAATTTGTCGCGGGTGTACAACCATCATGTACAGTCGGTGAGGAAGGCTGCAGCGCAAGGGAGTGCTTCGAAGACCGCGATAGGAGCAGCTACGTAGGCTAATTTCGCCCGTAAACCAACTTCTTTCGAAACAGAGGAACGTTTGTAGAGAGATTGGTGCAGACGTGGTGGAGACATAATTTAATGCTTGTTTCGAAGGCAAGATGATTCGTATTCTACGTTGGTAATGCCACTGAGATTGACGTTGCTGGGGATTGATTCCCTACCCCATTTCCTCCTTGTTGTAGCATCGGGGCATCACTTGTCTCCGCTCCAGTAAGGGCCTCTGTAGGCATCAATGTCCCCTCTTGTTTTCTTGGTACCGACTCAGATGTCGCGGCCGTAATGGTAGCCTCAATTCCAGGCACAAACTCTCGCACCACATCAAATGTTGCTTTCCATCGCACGTTCTGGTTTGCTTTGAGCAAACCACAGTCGCACATAACGAGAAGAAGGTTTTTCACGCTCTCTGGTATATGTTCTACAAGGTCGTCATGTTTCTCTGTAGTGGCACCCTGGTTCCATATTTCACTTGTACCACTCTCAATGGCTACCCGAAATACCTCGAGAACTCCAATCCACAATTCCGTAAACGCCTCATCACTGATTCCTCGTGCGATGGCAACGTGATGTTGCAAAAAAGTCTTAGACGTGAGCGTGACTGCTTTCAGTCGTGTCCGGTTGCATGCTAAGGCGACAGATCTCCTCAATTGCTCCTGATGCTCTGTTGAGGTGGCTGCATTCCGCGACCTGCCTCGCATAACCGACGTTCCACTATTCCGCTCTGCCAACAATTTCTTTTGTGCAGTCTGTTCCGCTTCCAGAGTTGCCGCCAAGAAACCATGGGTTGTGAATAATTGTGTCATAAGCGGCAGTAGTACTGTCGATAACGCTCTGTTCCATTGTTCCGCTGACAAAAAATCGGCGGAGCTGCTGGATGCGACAACCCGCTCGAGCACTCCAAGAGCAGAATTTCTGACCTTCCCACGAGGGTCTCGCACAGACGCTGCAAAACCAAGGAACAGAGGGCCCCAGAACTCTGACCACAACTCGTCTTCCATTTGGGGGAGTACAAGTGGTCTTCCGTTTGCTCCAGTGCTTCTTTCAATCCCTGATTTCTTTGAGAATGAGGAGATTCTTTGCGAGAGAAGGAAGAGTAAATCTAGTGCCCTTATTGAAACATCAATAGACAGACATGATGTATACGCAAGGATGGCATGGAGCAGAGGAGTAAATGTTTCTGCACTAACCGCAAATGTGGATGAATGATCTCGAAGCAAACAAGATATTGTATCCAAACCTATCTCTCGAGCTTCGCACTGATACCGAGCTGAACTCTCCAAAATCGACAAAATTGCGTGCCAGCCTGATGTCGAATGAATCCCAGAACCATGCGTTTTCACGATATTGAACACACCCGCAGCGATCGGCACGGATAAAACCTCAGCGGTGTCAGGTGGCAATCGCACTAGGAGATTGAGGCCTCTCAAAACGTCATTTCTTACTTCATCGCGATGAAGGAGTCGGACGCCAACTCGTAACAAGCAAACAACAGCCCTCTCTAGAACAGCAGACGGCTGCGTTGCTGGTGCGATGACTCGAACCAAAAGTCCGTGGAGCGCAGGCCATGGCAAGCGAAGTCTATCGCGATTCTGCAACGTGAGTTCGCACAGCAGGTCAATGCAAAACGCTGTAACAAAACTTCTGGCCTTGCGCTCGTCCCGCTCCTTCACTTGCCCAGTCCACGGTGACGAAAGACCGAACGACGAAAAATCTGACTCCGATTCGGCTGCAGCCAAGGCTCGGTACTTGTTTGTAACACCAGCTATGGCAGAAGAATCACCTTTTGGACTTGGGGGGGCAATTTCATCCCAGTCTAGCATTGACGCTTCCGTTCCATTCGCGTGATCATCGACAACTCTGCTGTTCTTGACTTCAGACCCATTTTCTCCGCCTTCCATGGTCCTGACAGCTGACCTGGCAACGGCATCTGCTAGGTGTTCTAAGGCCGAGGACTGCAAAACTTTTGCCTCGTTGATGATCACATCTTCAATTCGACAACCCGCGATGCATTTTCTGGCAAGCTCTTGGGCTTCGCGCTCTTCTGGACTCTGCATTCTGAGGTAATAAGGAGGTGCATTTGAAGTCTTCCGAATGATGCGGCCGTCACCGTTCACCGCATGGCTACTGCCATACTCATCTTCCTCCTCTGAATCTACCTCTGGCCCAATGGATGCTGCAATCAGCGCAGCCAAAAAGCCATTTGGACGGGATGTTTTTCGCGGTTTTTCATCCTCAGCCTTCGAATCTTTGCATCTGCCTCGCTGCGACGGCCACCACATGGGTACTAACTTCGATGGGGGTAACTCCGTGCTAACACCAGCCAATTCTGGTCCATTACCACCGACTTGTTGTTCAAGGTCGACAGGGAGAAGGTCCAAGGCATGTAAACGCAAAAGGTACGCTACCAAAGACTGCCATCCTTCACTTTGCAGCCAATCTGCACACTGTCGGGAAACCCCTGAAAGCGCGACACACGCCATCTGCGCTTTGATGTCTGTACCAAAACGAGCAATAGCGCCATGCAATGGTCCTTCACGAAGAGTGGTCGCCGTTGCCAAGGACGAAATCACAGCATCAGTGGGGCGGCTCATCTGATACGCAGTTGAGCATCGAGCAATTTCCAGAAAGCCTTCCAAGGCCTTTTGCACGGAGTTTGCATCTCCAGCCTCGTTGAGAATGGCATTCGCTGCCACCACTGCAGATTCCCAAGATAGCGTAAAGATTTCTTCGTTAAACTCCCGATAACTCTCAATACTCGGAAGCGTCTTGTTCCCCATCTGCCTAAGCTGTTCGTCCCAATGAACATCCGTCAGAGCACCGATGCCAGCTTCATCGCTCATTCTGATCTCTACTGCGGCAATAGAACGGTAGATGTCTGCCAAGAACCATTTCGGTAGATCCTCCCCATCATTTATCCCTCTGCTGTTGCGCAAGAAATCTTCAAGGGTCATCTTCTTCCTGATTGAGTCGTTATGCTGGTCTGTATTCAACATGACGACTGAATAGCTCAAAACGTAGGCCGCATCTGCGTTCTTCAAAACCCCCATACGATGCCGGTTTTCCATACAATTTTGAACATCTGAGTGTGCGGGTACGCTCTCAGTTTTCGCCGCGTTGATGTCTCCTCCACCTCGGGTATACCCGTTTGCAGTTTCCTTTGCCTCCGTCCCATGGTGCAGTGCCACTTCTTCAGTATTGCATGCCGAAACAGAAGGCTTGTTCTCCTCACAATATCTTTCCGCAAAGGACTGTACAATGCGATCAATTTTCTGAGCTTCACCAGGCAGCCGAAAGCTTTCCAGAAAAACCCGAAGTGACTCCGTAAATGGTCTGCCCATGAATTGGAAGGTAGCAGTGTAATCTGCCAAGACACGACGTGACAATGCATCTGGTTCACCAATAACCACCCCTATTCTCTGCTTGTTCAAGCCGGGAGTTTCACGCAAGAACCTCACTATTGATTGCACATCGGCCTCCAAGTCTTCCCTCACAGTGCCCAATTCTGAAGTTGTCGTACTGGCTAAACCGTGCTCCTTCAACATTGCAAGTAATCTGGTTGCTTTTTCCAGTTTCTCTGACGAATTAAAAACCTTAGCAGCATGCTGCAGCTTTGCTTTTTGTTTTCGCAATGCCCGGCTCTCTAACAAAAGTGTCCTGTCGCCGTCAGGTTGGTGGACAGATCCATCGGACTGGACCGTCAGTTGCTCGTTGATTGTGTCAATGATAGCGAGGATAGATTCCGCGCATAGCAACGCAGCCGCTCGTGAAAAGCGCGATGATTCAGCATTCGTGGCACCGGTCATAGTCGTGTCGTCATCGTCGCTATCTGCATCGGCCGTTGCGCTTGAAGTGTGATTCGCTCCGCTTGATGAAGCTCGTAAGCGTTTCGATCGTCGTCGAACTCGCCTCGCCTTTGCTGCGTACCCCAGCGCCTTCAGTAAAGGAGCGACAACATCATTGCGCTCGAGATCGCAGTCTGCAATCCTGTATACGACGCATAGTAATCCTGGCGATGACAGGAGTGCTGCTAGCGCTTCCAGTCCAATCTCACGGATAAACGGGTCAATCTCTACGAAACCGTGTACCACGCTTCCACCGCCGGCTGACGACATAGGAGTGCGCCCGTTTCCGTTCGCATTTTCTGCCACGCCGTTTGTATCTGACGGACGAGAGACCATAGGCAGTACGTTCTCGTATCCAGAAATGTAGAACGGGAAGACGCGTTCCAAAAGAGCTAGAAGAAACGGTCCACCGTCTTCCTGAAGCACGTAAACCATCTTCGTAGCCACAGTAAAGGCCGCTGAAATCGTAGAAGGTTGTGATTGAAACATTCCGAGAGAGCGCAGGACCGCCCGTGAACATTGGCTCATGAGGAGGCGCTTCAGTGAAGGAAAGTTTCTAAACTTCGTTCCAGCCGACCCTAAGATTGCCGATAATAGCTGCATCCCCAAAGATCTTTCAGCATGGGAAGTCGCTTGCACCGGGTCTGACATGCGAGCACAGAGCTCCACAACTGCACCAACGATATCGGCAGTCGCACGCCCATGCTGTGAAAAGGAATCCGTGTCTAACGAGAAGCCAAAGACAGGACTATTAACGCCGTCAACAAATAGAGGGGACAACTCTTTCCCAGTTTTGCGAGGCGCCTTGCTAGACTCGCAGATAGTGACAAGATTCTGGCCAATGGCCGTAAATATGTTGACCAAAGCGGCATCAGCAGTTCGCTTGAGAAGATCGGAACCACGACGACGACCGGCCGCAATTCGGAGGCACGCCTCAATAGCGCGCAAAATTGAAGCGTCAGAGAGGAGAGGAAGAGAGAGAGACGTCGCGATGCGAACTACGACTGCACAGATTCTGGCAAGTACAACCTCATCTGCCGCAGGGTCAGTGGCATCAAAACGACAGGCGGAAGCGGCGTCCATGATCGAACTGAGAACCACTGAATATTGAGAGAGTGCTTGGTATTGGATGGCAAGGACAAGAAGACGCGTAGTGATTCTATCCAGCGAGAGCAAAGCCACACCCGTAATAATACCTGAAGCATCCCTCGACTTGACAACTTCGAGAAACGGGTCAAGGGCTGAAAGTAGCGCATCTGGGTGCACAAGCTGGCCTTTTGGAGGCAAGTTGAGGGAGTCCGGGGCTTCCGCACTCGGCGTTCCGCCTTTGACGACGTCACGCAAGGACTTAACCTCTTTGACGAGAGGATGCTCCGCTGGTTGGGAGGCTGCTGCAAATGAAAGAAGATAGCCAAATCGCCTGTTTTGTCGAAGAACGCTAAGTAACTCTCGAGCTTCCCCGAGCAAGGTGACGGAGAGGGGTATTTCTGAAGCTTCCATGTTGGCGTGGGACGAGAAGTGCCTCCAAGTTTCGCGCTCCCCAATCAGATGTGGAACGTCGAGGGGCCTCGAGCAAGGGAGAAATTCCTATGCAATTGATGCAGGCAAGCTGCAACGGCGATTGTGGCTGCCCTGTGCCTCAAAACCGGGTCGACGGAATCGCGGTGGGGAACAAGTTGCGTTTTGTTGGCGATAGCCCTCGGGTCCAAACTCATGCGTGAAAGACGAGGCTGACAGCGCCCTTGTGGGGTGAGGCGGGGTAGAATTTGGAGCGCTAAACTCGTGTGAGCGTATATCTTTCATTCATACATTCCTGTTGCATTACAGAGAGCAATATCAATATTTTCCTATTTTATTTTAATTTTCCTCCACCAGGGCGAAGACACGTGACATAAGTCTCAACCACGTCTAATCCGCAGTTCAGAGGCCCTCCAGATTTAGTACGGGTGCACTAAATTTAACAATTTACGCTTTCAATATTTTTTAAAATATGTTTGCTCAAAATTTTTTTTGCTTGCAGTGCCAGACCGCACACACGCAGTACACGTGGAACAAACACCTAGACAATAACAGGACGCCGTCGTCGTAGCCTGAGGTAAAGGAGTCCCCAGTTGGACATCACCGTCACAGGTTATGGGCCCCACGATACGCTAACCCACGCCCCCGAAACAACATTCTCGTTCACCACCCTCCATACAATCTCGTCCATCTTCCTTCACTCGTCATCTTCATCACCGCATCCTCGCACTCCGAAACTATCCCCGATATCTCCATATCCACCCACCACGGGTCAAAACGGCGACCCCTACCCCTCGCTCCCACCGCCACCAACGGCGACAATCCTTACTCGACGATCAATACACCACACAACAACTGTGGTACAACGCGCGCGTCACCGCATCCGACAACACCATCCCAAACGACACCACACAAAAGTCAATACCCCCCATGGATACAAAATTCCATGTATCTAAATTGGATCGCAACAATCCACTGTTCTGGAAAATGGCCATTGAGTCCTGTGGTACAACTCTCCTCAAACCCTAGCGGGCAAGAAGCTCGGAGGATGAGCCGAGGGAGCTCGCGACGCGAGACGCGCGGCGCGCGGTTACCGAACGGTCGGAGTTGCGAAAAGGGAGTGGCACACTGGCCGGTTACGTGCAGTCGTCCCGACGTGCTAGATCGGAGACGACCGGTAACGGGTTAGAAGCCAACGCGCGAGAGAATACCGAAACGGCAGTACGTAGTTGCGAAAGGGAGGGGGGCAAGTCTGCCCCCCGTGTTTACTGCGAGGACGGTGTCCAGGTCTTAACCCCTCAGAGGGACGCCCGGGACACCTGTCCAATACAGTACCTGTCACTTACTGTGGACCAGGTACTGTACGCGATTGAAAATCTAGCGCCGTCATTACACCACCGCACGGATCCTCACACTACGCGCTTGCATTACACTGCGCGCGCATTATCCCCACACGGTTCCTTACACTACACGTGTACCCAAGCGTACACCTGTCACTTGCTGCGCCCGTTCGGTAATCATACGTATTACACGTGGGCCACGGTGCCCCGTGCCCGCTGCGCGCGGCCGCTCCTACTGTACACCGACGGCCGATCGGTGGTTGTACCACAGACCCCCTTCCTTATCTGTCGCCACATCCTCGTGGCGACCACATTTTCTTCCCAGCGGTCCCCTCGATCTCTTCCACAACCTGTGCGTGCGATGACCTGACGGAAGCCTCTTCGCGCGGACGAGCACGCCTCGTGGCTCTTCACCGACCTGACGGTATATAAGTCGGGTATATCGTCCGATTCGGATAGCGCGGCTTCTGTCTCCTCCCACGCGAACCCCCCAGAACCACCAACTCCAACACAGCACTCCCCCACACTTCACCAACACTCCTCCATTCCTTCCCCAGACGACGACATTCCTTTATCCCAACTCTTCCCACGACCGACCATGGACCACAGCAACACCCCCGTGGACGCGCTTCCGATCGGCGCGCCGTCGAGCCCCATAAGGGCTCCGGCGTTACCCGGGTCGACTCCCGCGTTTCAGCCGCAGCGCGCTCGCCGCGGCGGAACAGAGTCGACCACCAATTTGGCCGAGCCCGCGACGCGCTCGCGAGCTGATGCGTCCGATCCGGTCGCTGCGCCACCGATAGAAGAACGACCGACCTGGCCCTCGCCGCTGCCCTCCGAGGGCGTGGCTCCAAGGACGGTTGAGGCGGGTCCGGCGTACCCCGCGGTACTACCCCCGCCTCCCATGTCGCCGCTGCCTGCCGCGGGCACGGCGTCGCCAAGAGCCGATTTCGGTACTGTGCGCGAGACGCTGGCACCGACGGCTGTCCTGCTCTCGCCGCGAGCCGAGCGGGGGTCGGCGCTATCGCTCGGGCGGGCCTTCACGACCCCCAGCGCGCCGAATTGGCTGAGAAGTGGCGTCAAGTCCGTCCGGTCGCTGCTGCCCGGGTCCTCGATGGACCACCGGCGGCGGCGAGCCCGGCGACGCGCTTCCGGTCGCAAGCCCCCGATGACGGTCGACGAATACGTGCGGCGCCGCCTCTTGGACTCGGCGCGATTCCAGGCAGTCCCTGCGAATCATGCCATCGTGACTCCGTCCGGGCGGGGTAGCGTGGCGCAGCAGAATCGGGCGGGCGCTTGGCAGGCCCGATGGCGACACGTGCCGTGCCGTACACCCGCCGCGGGTGGCAGCGACTTGCTCTACGTCCGGTGCGGTGGCGAGGAGCGGTACCACGTCACGCTCCTCAACCTATTCGGTCGGTACAGGCGCTACGATGGCGCCGTGCCGGACATCCGCTTGGTGGCCTTCCCGCGCCCTTTCGACAACTGGTACAGCATCGCGGACCGCGGCCGGTGGGGCGAGGACGCTGCGCGGGAGAGTCGGCTGCGCTGGCGCCGTGGAGATGACTTTTTCCATATGTGGCACAACACCGAGTTTTTCTCGGTGCCCAGCGCAGCGCGGCGAGGCCTGTATCCTTCGCTCCCTCCGGACTGGCCGGACCTCGAGGCACCGGAGCACCTTTGCGTGCCGACGCCGAGTGCGATGGCCTACGTCGCGGCGCATTGGTTGCCACGCGGTCGAGCGGAGTCAGCCGAAACGGAACGTACGCGCACGCTTGTGCGCGCGATCGTCTTGTCCGAATGGGCGGTGCTCGCGTTGTTGTGCTTCCTTCGGGCTGCCGGCGAGGGGTTGCCGTTCTTCACGAGGTGCCCCGACTCCCGGTTGGCTGCGAGGCGAGACGAGCCGCTCGGTGAGCGCGGCGTGCTCTTCCGCCTCTCGGTGGGGCTGATTGCCCTCATCCGTTCGGTCGGCGTCAAGGAAATCCTCGACGGTACCGCGTACGACGCGGCGCGCGCGGAACAGCTACTGACCTTCACGGCAAGTCTGGACTGGACCGGCCGGCCGGGCTTCGTATGGTTCAGCTGGGCCCGCGGCTGCGCGTTAGACATGCCGCTTTGGGTCAGCGACGAAGCGGGCGCGGTCGGCGACGACGCAGCATACGGAACCGTTGAAGCAGAAGGCCTTTACAAGGCACCGGCCGATGACGGTGGTGGGTCCTCGCTCGCGATCGCTGCCGATACAGTGGCGCCTGTCGCTACGCCCGCGCTACCCGCTCCCGGAGGGTCCACTCGTGTGGGCTCCATCCAGAGCGACTCGCCAAAGGGGGTCGCTCAGGAGCGGCGCGACTTAAGGCGTCCGGTCGGTGAGGCGGGATTTTCGGACCCACCCCCGGTCACTCAGCATATAAGCGCGGTGACCGGGGCCGAAACCGTATCGCGACCAGCAACGATGCCGAAACCTCCCACAAGTCAACCGCTCGGTCGAGTTCCCCCGGAGCGCCTCCGGGAGGAGGCCGCGCTCGCGGCGCTGCAGTACGCTTGCTCCTTTGAGGGGGCGGACGCCCCCTCCTCGGTCGAGGCGGCGCTACTGCAGGCGCGCGATTGGATGCTCCGGGTTCGGCAGCTCGAGAAGACCGTCGCGGTGTTACAGGAATCCTCTGCCGCGGCGACGCGCGAGCGTGCCGAGCATCACGCAAAGTTGCGCTCCGTACAGGACGTCCTTGCGGTGGTGAGCCAACGCCTGGCGGCGCCCCCGATGTCTTCGTCGACAGTCGGGGCCTCGCGCCCCGCGCCCGACGACGTCGAACCGGCGCCCTCGGCGAAGCGCTCGCGCCACTTCTAGACACCGGCTTGCCGAGCGTCTCCTCCCTTACGTAGTACAGTAGGGGCATTGCCCGGATTAAACGAAACCGATTATCGGTGCTCTTCTTCCTCGCCAACTTGCGCAATTAAATCGTACTTCGGGCTACGCTTCCCCCCCTCCTAAGGTAAATAAAAATCGTAGCCCGGTTCCGCGAACGGTATTGTACGCGCGCGGGCGAGACGGAGCCGATGGCACCGACACTGGAAAACCGCAAATCGGACGGCTTTGGGCCGGAAACCATCGATGGACGTCGCCCCCTTGTCGGTTCGATCCTGTAGCGGTGCGCGTGCGAACACGAGCGTCCGAGCGGTTCGGTGTGAAGCCGCGAAGCGTCGCGTTATGCCTGCGTAGGTTCTCCGCGTTGGCGCGTGCGCCAATACCGATCGATAAACGGTTGCGGGAGCCCATCGGCGGGCTCATAGGTGTCGTCGGAAGCGGTATATCCATACCAGCGGACCTTGTACTGGATCCTGCCCCGCGCGGTACGGTGTCCGACGATGCGGTCAACGACGTACTCCGCGCTCGGGGCGGCTGCGGGGACTTCCGATTCGGTCGACGCTGCGAGGGTGACGATATCCCCCGGCCCGCGTGGCATCTTCGTCACGCGGTCGATGCTCACGCGATTCTCCACGCCGTCCTGTTCGATCAGGACCGTGGTGTCCGTAACGGAGCGCACGCGAAATGGACCCTCTGTCTTGGGTAGAAGCTTGACAGAGAGGTCGTCCGTATCGGTCGGACTTCGCGCACGCGCGCGGCGCTCGACGCTTGTCAACGGACGT